CTTAAATAACAACTCGTAACCCAGCCCCCGGCGACCCTCTGAAGGATAAGCGGTAATAGCTGATGAATGGACCCCCATTTCAAGACACTTCAAGGGGTTTCTCCATCCCCTATTTACACGTTGAGGCTTATACTCATGATACTATATGAATTAAATTTGGCATCTGTACATACACATATCTACATACATGCAAACCAATGTCGACATGAAATCCCTGACATCTGACATATTTATGCGCATTGTTTTGAATGAGTAGAATCAATGGAGATGACCCAGGCGGGGATGGCTAGCGACTCAGAATATAAACCCAGGAACTTGCAGTGTTTGTTCCTCAAGTAAAACAGACTAGAAAAAAAGAGACATCAGAATCAGATTTTCACAGTTATTTTTACCTGGTTTGTATGTCCATCTTTGCCCTAGAGTGGGCCGAGCACAGTGGTCCAGCACTGGACTGGAAACCAAGTCTTTGATATGTATGTTCTTTTAATGGTAACCTGCATATTGGTAGAAAAATACCAGTGACCAAAGCAACGTTTTGGCTTTGACAGTGTAAAGGTGACTGCAACCTTTGGTTCCAGCATGACACTGATCCTTCAGCTTGCACACCCTTTTTTCTTCTTAAATCTTGTGTAGCCAACATGAAACCAGCAATGTATTTCACAGATGAGTAGTCTGTGCAATCGCAGTTTTTCCTGGGAAACAACTGTACCCATGCACAGTTAGTAGGCAACTAACGTATTCACCCTGGAGGTTATAGATGAAGAACCAGTGGTAAGCTGATACCCTGTACATCCATGCAGTTGTGTACAGTGGTTGTTATATAGATGAGTATTGTCTCCAACATCCTGATAAGAATCGTCTACTGTATATGTCAGTGAAAAGGCCTGTTTTTCTTTGCAAACGGCGCCTCTTTTTTTAGCAGTAAGGTTTTCACATCATCATGTGACAGTCAAGGGTTGAAATGAACTGAGACTACAAAACTCCCAGGGCTTCCTTAACCTCCCCTCATAGTTAGCCTCAGATGAAGGATTGGGCAATAGATGATAACTGTTCCATTGCTTTTATTAAAACCTTGATTTGCTCTAATAGTCATATCTGTTTTTTTTGTTTTTTTTAAGGGTGATTTCCGACCTAGAGTTGTCTTGCTTTGGTCTGAATCAGGGACTAATTTTGTTGCACAATTGCCTAGAGTTGGTTCGTGTTCTCACGGCAGCATTTACAAGTGGACCAGATCAAATGCCTTGTGTGAGAAAGCTGCTCTTGATTGGTCAGAATTTCCTTGTGGGAAAAATCCAGGAAGTAAACAAAACGTTGAGGAAGAGTACACTTGCAAGATAAATGCGACACTTTCTAATGTCACAATGGAGGGACAACTACGCAGGTTGATTTTAGCGCTGGTCATCGTGGACTATATTGCTGTCATTGTTCAATTTGGCAGTTTGAAAACGAGGCACGGCTCTACCTAGCATTGGATGTGCTCAATGTGTATATTAAGGCAGTACAGGAGGAGGTGCGCATTAATAATCCTCCAGGACTGTAACTCATGTTTAACCCAAACAATGTGTAATGTGACAGTTGGTTCAGATCGAGGTCAGAACACGTTCTCACCACAAAAAGTTTGTCTGTAACCGGGCCGAGACCACCTCTTCAAGAAGGTCTCGGTCCGGTTGTTTTGGTGCACACCTGAGTGTGATTGCTGTGTTCACACCTGCCCAAACAAACCAAACTTAGGGGGCAAACGAACTTGAGTTCGACTGAACCGAACCAAACAGGGCAGGTGTGAAAACATCCTTAAATAACCATGAATAGTCATGAATAATTATGCTCCAGATTTTGTTTAGTAAAGCTGTGCTTAAATTTTGGAGGGGATATCCTACATTCAGAGCGTGTAACAACTGTCACTGGGTGTTCACTATGGGAAAAAAATATACCAAGGCAGTACCATATTAGATGAATCTGCACCTCATGATTTATGTTCTGTGCCAGAGTAGAAGGTAGTGTGCATCTTATTTACCCTTATCATAAACAAATGTTTCCATTGTTTAATCCAAACCATACCTGAACCACCTGGCCATCGGCTTTTGATACCGACGCACAAGGCTTCCCACAGCATCTGTATGAGATTTAACTAACTCCAGTAGAATCCTATCCACAGCAATAACTTACAGAAACAGCAAGAAAGTCCAAGTAGAGCAGGAGGGAGGAATGGTAGATGGGTCAATCACACACAGTCAGTTTTTTCGTCTGAAACTGTTGCATGTCTAAACATAAATACAACTTTGCGTTGTGTCAATCACGTTTGCACACTGAGTCTCAAACTTTCTTCTGTCATTAAAATTTTCGGAACAGGTTTGATTTTCTGCTCTTTTCACATCTGTCGGAGGCTTTCAGAGACGTTTGACCAAGAATCAGTGAAGAAAATGTGGCGGCAGGACACAGCTGTGACAAGACAGAGGAACAGGGTGCACAGAATCATTTCATACCTCAGATAGCTACTTTCAACAGGTCAGATAGTAATATTCAGGTGGATGATGATGAAGACGAGGAGGATGTGGACCGCACACAGGATGTGGAGACAGAGTGGGAGGATAGCACCGCCCCTTTATGGAGCTACGGTGCGAAAAATGAAACGTGTGTAATGGTTTTTTTTTGGATGATGGATTAAAAAAATGCATCCGAAAAAAAAAAAATGGACTCTGAGTGCAAAGGCCTTTACACGTAAATATAATCCACCAAGGCTGGTTTAAGTTATATCAGGCAAGCGCTGAAACACTGCACAACAATATATAATAGTATAAAACAGGATTTTACAACTCAGTAAAGTTATCATGGGGGCAGTCGTTATATCCTTAATGAAGTAATCAACAGAAACGACCCATTTGAGTTACCAGGAATTGTGTCCTTATACGCCAAAACAGTGTGTTGCTGGATGCTTTGCAGCAAAAATTGAGCCAGGTTTAACATTTTGCCAGAAGTTTTTGTTTGCTACAGGCCTCTGTGTCAATGCAGTGGCCTCACTGAAATGAATGAGGGGGGCTGCATTTCTTCAAGCAGTGCTAATGTCAATCTGAACACAGCCTGAGCCCACAGCTAAACGAATAAGCTGTACTAAGAAGGATCTAACCCCAGGGCTGAGCGTTGTTTGAAAAGCCCAAGCGATCTATTAGTTCAGATGGCGATGGTGGTTTAGTATCATTTTCTTCAAGAATCAGTCAATACCAGTGTTAGTGCAGTAATACGAGGAATGCAGCCGGCAGCAGAACGCATCACATGTGCTGACACGCTTGTTTCGCATTACTTGAAGCAAATTATTTCACGACAAAGCGAGCGAGAGAAGGGAATCGGAACTATGTTTATAGTCGGATGAAAACTGCACAGAGCTGCAGTTTCCCCGTCTCACCAAGGTAAAGAAAGGACTCATGACATGGCACAGAAATCATGCCAGTCAACACACACAACATGCACAGTGGCAGATCTGATTAATCTTCTCTTCCATGGCAGTTCTTTTTGTCCTTCCACTTGATGACCTATGCTACCAGGGGAAAATTCACAAAACTGCTTGTTGGACAAACACCGCAGTTAAGCTTCAGTATGCTCGCAGGGCATTTTTTATTGGAATCATTTTGGCAGGTGCTGAAGCAAAGCCTTATGTCTCTCAGGTTACAAATCCTTTTATTGAACAACAGGCCGTTTCTAGTCCAAGAGCCGAGAGGAGCACTGACGGAAAGTGGCCTAAATCCATGCATAGACATACAGTAAAGACAATGTCTCCACGTTTGTTATAATGGCTTGTGGAACATGTTTAATATGCCTGATTCAGTGTTTTGTTTTTTTGTTGTTCTTTTGTTGTGCGTCAGACCTGAAAGAATTTGCTGATACGCCGTTAGCTTCTCTCATGAGCTGCACACTCGTACCTCTGCCCATGAAAGCACACGCTCGCAGAGGCACATTATAAAAATACACACACACACACACACACACACACACACACATACACACAGTATAAATAAACCACGATTTTTCTTACTCTCGCTTTCACACACACTCACACACACTAAAGGTTATCTGACCACTTTAAAGGAGCATTCCTGTTTAATTACAGTTTTGGGTCTTATTTTCAAAGGTTCGGACATCATTCCTGTCGGTACTAAAAACATACTGATCAAGAAATCTGGAAATGTGACAACATTACTGCAGAGTAGTCTGATGAAGGATGCAAGTTTCATCTCACGCCAGTTTCAAACAAAGCCCCAGGTTTGCTGAACTCATTTTGGAAGAGAAAATGAGTAGAAACAAATCTCCACAACTATCCTCTGTCAACATTAGGGGTGTAAATCACTAGTGTCATCACAATATGATATTTGATATATTTGCCGATATTACAAAGTCTGTCATGACACGATTACGTTTCGATGCGATTCAGGGGCTGCGATTGATGTGATACAATATCATATGATCATTTAACACAAACTGTTACAGCAGAAGCTGCCAGCCGTTTCTTTTTTGCTTTTGGCCATTAAAAATAAACAACAAATAAGTAATTAAATAACTAACCACAGAAATGCAGTTAAGTTTTATGTTAAATTGACTCCACTAACACATAAAACAGCACATGGGAAAAGTTTACCTTCAGAGCTGTCTGACTTTCTGGAGGAAATCTTCGCATTTGAACCAAAATCTTTTCCCTAAAAAAACAACATCATTTAACAAAATTATCAATTTAGGTTCAATAATAACTGTCAAGGCTCAGAGACAAAACAGTTGTTATTTGCTCATCACCCATCATTAGCTTAAGCACTTCAACACTTAACCACTGCATAAATTAGCCTTGCGGCTAGCAGAGATTTCCTGTACTCATAGCTTAACAAATCACATGTACTGTTTAGTTTTTCTTACATACTGTTGCATTTCCTCCTGAATTTCAGCCTGAGTGCACGTTTCTCCAATCATTGTTGAAACAGAGCAGCTAATGTTGCTGCAAGACTTTCAAAATAAAAGCTTGTAAGATGATTGAATGGATCTATGTTTTCACTTTGCATCGATGATACCGGATGTTTGATCTTTGATTTGTTATGTCGCTCCAGATTGATGGATTGTTACACCCCTAGTAAACATCCATCCAGACTTCCTGGCAACTTTGACCCACTGTATTTGCCGTGATTGTGCACACAACATTTTCCTCTGCAATTACGGATTATTACTAGCATCACTTTCAGTTTAACAATAAATGTTTTAATGAATCTGGCTAAATCCTGGCTTGTTCACAGCCTGTGTGATCATCTGATCTTGTTGCTTGCCCTGTCTGACTTTGTTGTGAATCTGTCGCAGTGACTTTCCAGTGTTATTCCCAATATGACATTTTATGAATTTGATACGGGTCATGCAAACAGAACCGTGTGAATATTCCAAATTAGGCCTTTTTCCAGCATAGTATTTTCTGATTAAGATGTGGGATATGCCGATATTATTTGGGTTTTGGGAGCAGTCTTTGAACATGCGTACAACACATTTCAATATGTGTCTCAATTGGGGTTTATCCCACAGTTTGTGATGCACGACCTCTATCATGTTTGCGGTCAGCTCTGTACGTTGTCAAGGATGTGTTGTATCCAAACCAACTGACCCTCATTTTACGAGGCTGGTATAGAGGTACATGCCCAAAACAAAAGCCCACGTTTCTGGATGGAAGGAGAAACACACCTACTTTAAAACATTATGAAAGACTTGGATATCAACTAGTGTTTGGATACACCATGACCTTTTAAAAGAGGGTAGCTGAAGGAACGAAAGAGGGAGACTGTTCACATGGTCAAACAAGTCTGCCACCTGTGGAAAACTTCTGCTTTGATGCAAAGACGCAAAATGTCACGAGCAGCTCCAGCTGTTTCACGTCAGTGCACGTTAATCGCAGTATGCACAGCTGCTTGTAAATGGGAATATTAGTCGAATGTTCATTTTCATTGGCAATGTATATAGCTTAGTAGGAATATTGTCTTGTTCAGAGTAAGGGCAAAAAACATAACTATGTAAGCACAGTCAGTGTTTCCAGATCTCAGAAATTACTTTGGTGAGCACATTGTTATCATAACCAATATAGTCTATAACCTAAACTATGAAAATAAGTCCCAAAGTGTAAATAAACTGAATTCCTCTTTAACTTTGCACTGCTCCGGGGCTCGTTTTTAAGATGAGATTGCGACCTGACTGCACCAGATCAGCCTCCTGGAAATAAAAGATGCCAATGTATGAGCATAACTCGCTCCTCTTCTTATCACCCTCCTCCATCAGGTCTATATGAGCCAGCTCTTTTTTATGAACACTTTTAAAGCAGCCACATAACTATGACCTTGTTGTTTTAAATAACTATCATATCTCCGTTACACAAAAATGAACAGGACCTTTCACTGACATCCGATATTTACCTTGATCAGTGTATTGATTGTGTAATTTTGCCTAGAGTTTTATATACATCATTCGTACAAAAATGCTATTGTTTAAATACTGTCCAGCATATTGTCCAATACAACAACGTGAGCTTTTTCAGATGATGGTCTTTAGAAGCTGTACACTGTGGACCACTCCTCAAACAGGCTTTGATCTATCGGTCTCTACATTGAGTGTATTGAGAGAGTAGAGCTTACGGAGTGTTGTAGTTTTGGTTATCCTAAGCCCTGTCCCAACCCTGCTGCTTCTCTAATTCAGTGTACTATCCTGATCACAGCTGATTAGGAAAAAATGACACTGGCAACAGGAATCAATACAACACTCTGGGGAAATAAGAGGATGTTCATTTTCACACCTTTGAGACGTCAATGTCTGAGGAGTGCAGTGAGGAGAGAGAACTATAATCCCAGTAGATAACACCAGCAACCCTGTGGTCCTTCAGTTTGAGGCATGCATTGATAAATACCTATCAATCACAGTACTCGTAATAAATACATAAAAGGTAATTTAGGGAGTAGAAAGTTTCCAGCTTGGACTGATTTGCATCGTGAGTCCATGGATTCTCAGTCTGGTTTGCTTAATGTTGATCAGTCAAAGTGACAGACAGCTACTGATGTGCGTTAATTTGACCTGATGAAATATTAATGTTCACATCTGTGGTTGCATGTTGGCTGTTCGGCTTGCTTATCGTCCTGGCTTCTACCTTCGCAGTCCTTTTTTTTGGCAGTATCACATATTTGAGGCTTGAGAAAAGTTCTTAAATTTTGAACTTTAAAGTTATAACATTTTTTTTTCCTTTGATTAATCTTTATCTTTTTGTGTTTCATTGCATTTACCCTTTGCCTTGATTTACAGTTAGTGTCTTTCATCCTTCATTCTTGCCATCTTTTCTCAACCTTCTCACTGTCTGGCCGTGTTTGTTTCTCTAAAGGAAGTCGCTCTGCAGCTCATTGGAGAGCTGACTGACAGCCACCTCGCTATTTGTTGATCCTTTAAGTATCCTGGCAGTCTGCTGGGGGCTGTATTCTGTTAGGTTGTCTCTGTTGCCAGCGACTGTTTCAGGGCAAGGACAGTGTCTGCAGGTCCCGTGGTTCTCCGGTAGCCCATTTGACAACCTTGTGGAGTTGCACTCTTCTTTGTGATGGGGTTGCCTGCAAGTTCCCTTCTGTGCAGAGCTGTGCGGACACAGACACCCACAGAGTGTCCGTCTGCACTGGGCCACATCCCGACACAGGGACTTGCGGAAGTTGGGCTTGAACACCAGATAGACAATGGGGTTGTAAAGGGTGGAGGACTTGGCAAAAATAGCTGCCAGAGCAAAAGCCATGGGTGGTACAGTTGTTGGGTTACCAAATGCTGCCCACATGGAGACAATGGCGTATGGACTCCATGCCGTCAGGAAACCGATGCAAACTGCCACGGAAAGCTGGAAAGAGACACAAAATGAATTTGTCACATAAACACATATTTACTTCCATCTATGTAATATGTTGGAAAGTGGTCCTATGCATTTACCTTAATGATAAGTGCATGTGCGTTGGTGATCTTGTTCTGCGGGGACATGTGCTGCTGCACAGCTTGGCGGGAGCCCCGGACGGTCAGGAGGATGAATGTGTAGGACAGGAAGATGACAGTGCATGGCACAATGTAGCAGAAGAAGAAGAGGCAGACGATGTAGCTCATAGCCGCAAAGTCTTGGCTGGGTGCATGCCAGTTGATGCAGCACGCTGTTCCGTAGGGCTCGGCTCCGTACTCTCCCCAGCCCGACAGAGGACCTACAGCAAAAACTCCAGCGTAGCACCACACCCCAGCAACCAGCAGGCAGGCGTGGCAGTAGGAGAACTTGTTACCTGAGGAAGAACACGGCAGGGTAGAGACAGAGGCAGAGGAGGGAGAGTTGGTGGAGCGATTACTGATGGATGAGGACTCGAGGAAGGGTACAAAAACAACAGCATAGCAACAATATGCTAATGAAGCATATTCAATCTGGTTACCTGATGCTGAGAACAATGAGTGAGGAGGGGAAAGAGGAGGACAGAAGGAAGAGGATGATAATATACAATAAGTGATGAACAACTTGATGTTAAATTTCCCTAGAGAGGATGGGTACTTCTGACAAGAAAATCATGGATAAAAATGAAGAAACTCATTTCACCCAGCCAGTCATACTTTGATTTGAGGCATACTCACACAGGAATCGATCTTGAAACGGTACTGCAATAAAACGTATGTTGATGACGATGATAAACTAAAGTCATTTTTACTCTATGGATAGACCTAGATAGATCCAAACAGTGTGTCATGCAGCAGAAGTTAACAGACAGCTGTCAGTCAATCTGTAGTGTTGGGGATATCCGTCAACGTACACGACCATTTTTCACTGCAAAGTTTGTGCTGAGGTGAGGAGGAATTGAAAGCAGCATGGACATAACGAAAAGAGGGGACAATAAGTGGAGGTGAGAGAGGGAGGACAGCTCAGCTCCTTCAGGTAGTGCGAATTTTTGCAACAATTCACATAAAAACTTAAATTAACGTATGAAATGTGAGGATACTGCATTTATATTTCTAGAAGGATGAACAGTTGTGGAGCACACTCCTGTCATTGTGCCAGAATGTGAATTATCCACGAGAAAACTGAACCGTCGACTGTAATTGGGTTAGACGAGGGCTTCTTCAGTGTGGAATCAGTGAGGAGAACACAGGGAGCCTTATCTATGACACCACACAGCCTCTTCAGCTGGATGTCAGCCCATCTTACCCTTCAAGCTGAGGGTGACGGGTGGTGATTGAGCCCTGTGGCACTCACTGAACTGTGTGGTGCAAGGGAAGGGGGCTGGTTAGCCATTACAGATGGCCTTTATCTGATGTGAAGCATCCCTTCACTGATCAAGCTCTCCAGCTATCTGAGTGGCACATGAAGGATTCAACCTAAGATCTTTTCTCATGGATAGCTGAACTCAATTTCTAACAATCTCCCCAAACATGTACTCTCACAGTTTAAATAGGAATGTATGAAACTTTTCTTTCATTTCTAATTCCAGTACCTCAACTCAGGGTACGTGATGAAACTGTATTCTGATTCCAGCCCTCCCTTTTACTACCCCAAAATATGAGCTCTATATAATAATTTTTAGGTATTTACAGGTAACATGAGGCCAAGGATTGTTGTGTCGCATACAACTAAAGCTCAGTTAGACTGGTACTGGAAACAATTTTACTGGTTTTCAGGGTTAGTGGCAGAGTACGCCATTTCTGCACTGGATTCAAGAAGCACAAACGTTAAATATGATACTAACAGAACAATGGCACAAGGCATGGCTAAAGTACAACAAATGTAACTTAAACAAAAGAAGGACATTCTTCAAAGAAGCACCTAGTTTAAAAATGACTTTTTGCTTATCTCACTGACTCTCCTTACAATGCATCAGAACTTTATTAAGTTATTGTCAGTGCAAATGGAACAATCTACGGCTTCACATTCAAAGCGTTCAACTGGCAAAACACAAGCTGGCTTTTATCATGAAGTAGCCACAGGATATTCAGTGTATTTGTCACCGCGGTTTGTGCTGACCACAATTGTTCATCTGAAATATGTCTAAAGCCCCGTTTCCACCAAACACTTTCAGTATGGTACCTTTGGAACCAACAGTAACCCTTCAGGCATGGTACTAGACCCCAGTGTTTCCACTCCAAATAGTACTCTTTCACGTGGACAGAGTTGTTATGACTCACTGCTCCATCCGGCACTCATTGTATTTCCTTCTTTATCATCTACAGAGCGAGGCTGCCTGGGGACATTTTCAGAAGAAAATAAAACAGGCTGCAGTGAGAGTCTCTCTACGTGGGATATTTAAAAATAGCGGGTTTCTGCATTTAGTCCTTCATAGGCAAGCTCAGGGGTTCAGTGTTGCCGGAGCCCATGGGAACGACTCTACGCAATGCTTTTTTTTTTCTCCAAGTGAGGATTAGAATATATGTAGTTCACTTAACAAAGCCGAAAATAATACATACAAACAATTGTGGATCCACTCGTTACTAAAAGTGTATGTCATATAAAAACTAAAGTAATGGTCAAAGTTGTCATGTGGAATATTAAAGGTGTGTTGATTGATTCACATCGTCAACTCATGCATTGAGTAACGGGTCCATGTCATTGGTCCAGCAGCCCATTGGTTCGACATCCCATTAGTCCGACTGTCCGCAGTGCTGAATGGCTCCCGGCGGGCGTATGGTGCGCCGCGACCAGCTCTGGGTCAGCTGGGAAAGCCTTGAGGCGGAGCAGGCTCACGGCTTATGAGTTTGTCACTTTCTTTTTCATTTTAACCCACACCATGATCTTTTCCTGACCCTAACCAAGTGGTTTTTGTGCCTAAACCTAACCAGACCTTAACCACAGGGCATCATGATGATTTCGGAACGGACATCGGAACAATGGGTTTAATATGGTCGGAACAACGGGATGTCGAACCAGTGGGCTGTCGGACCAACGGGCAGTTCCCTTGAGTAACATTACAAGTTAACGTTCCATCTTAAAAGTCACCGGCAGTCGGCCCCGTGAATGAAGTAATTTTTCTCCGACTACAGCTGCTGTGAGAGGCAGCAAAACCAGCCACAGCTCAGCCCTGAGCAGAGTGACCGTCCACTTCTGACCAATCAACAGACTGCAGTGTTCACAGCTCCACCTTTTAGTACCAGATCTGTGTGCTAGGTACCCCAACAGAGGGGGGACCAAAAATGGGGATGGTACAGAACAGCTCCATTGGTACCATCCACAACTTTTCGCAGTGGAAAGGGAAAGAAAGCATGCCAAACTGAACTGAACTGTGCTGTACTGCTTGGTGGAAATGGGGTTTAAGATAACAGTCTGTGATCTGTTAGATGAAGAGCTGTAGTCGATAAGCTGCACACTTCCTTCTCCTAAGACAGGCCCACTGTTGTGAGGTAATGAAATCAGATTGCAGTTAAAATTACTTTTGACTGATTTCTTTATTCAAACATGAGCTTGTTTGGCTGCACTGTAAACAGACAGATCAGCTGCTTGTCTGTTGTATTTCTGACTAACTAGCTGCTCAGTACAGGCTGTTCTCATGCACTGTTCTCACTTATACATATGAAAAGTAATACACCACAGCTCATATACAGTACAGGCCAAAAGTTTGGACACACCTTCTCATTCAATGCGTTTTCTTTATTTTCATGACTATTTACATTGTAGATTCTCACTGAAGGCATCAAAACTATGAATGAACACATGTGGAGTTATGTACTTAACAAAAAAAGGTGAAATAACTGAAAACATGTTTTATATTCTAGTTTCTTCAAAATAGCCACCCTTTGCTCTGATTACTGCTTTGCACACTCTTGGCATTCTCTCCATGAGCTTCAAGAGGTAGTCACCTGAAATGGTTTTCCAACAGTCTTGAAGGAGTTCCCAGAGGTGTTTAGCACTTGTTGGCCCCTTTGCCTTCACTCTGCGGTCCAGCTCACCCCAAACCATCTCGACTGGGTTCAGGTCCAGTGACTGTGGAGGCCAGGTCATCTGCCACAGCACTCCATCACTCTCCTTCTTGGTCAAATAGCCCTTACACAGCCTGGAGGTGTGTTTGGGGTCATTGTCCTGTTGAAAAATAAATGATCGTCCAACTAAACGCAAACCGGATGGGATGGCATGTCGCTGCAGGATGCTGTGGTAGCCATGCTGGTTCAGTGTGCCTTCAATTTTGAATAAATCCCCAACAGTGTCACCAGCAAAACACCCCCACACCATCACACCTCCTCCTCCATGCTTCACAGTGGGAACCAGGCATGTGGAATCCATCCGTTCACCTTTTCTGCGTCTCACAAAGACACGGCTGTTGGAACCAATGATCTCAAATTTGGACTCATCAGACCAAAGCACAGATTTCCACTGGTCTAATGTCCATTCCTTGTGTTTCTTGGCCCAAACAAATCTCTTCTGCTTGTTGCCTCTCTTTAGCAGTGGTTTCCTAGCAGCTATTTGACCATGAAGGCCTGATTCGCGCAGTCTCCTCTTAACAGTTGTTCTAGAGATGGGTCTGCTGCTAGAACTCTGTGTGGCATTCATCTGGTCTCTGATCTGAGCTGCTGTTAACTTGCCATTTCTGAGGCTGGTGACTCGGATGAACTTATCCTCAGAAGCAGAGGTGACTCTTGGTCTTCCTTTCCTGGGTCGGTCCTCATGTGTGCCAGTTTCGTTGTAGCGCTTGATGGTTTTTGCGACTCCACTTGGGGACACATTTAAAGTTTTTGCAATTTTCCGGACTGACTGACCTTCATTTCTTAAAGTAATGATGGCCACTCGTTTTTCTTTAGTTAGCTGATTGGTTCTTGCCATAATATGAATTTTAACAGTTGTCCAATAGGGCTGTCGGCTGTGTATTAACCTGACTTCTGCACAACACAACTGATGGTCCCAACCCCATTGATAAAGCAAGAAATTCCACTAATTAACCCTGATAAGGCACACCTGTGAAGTGGAAACCATTTCAGGTGACTACGTCTTGAAGCTCATGGAGAGAATGCCAAGAGTGTGCAAAGCAGTAATCAGAGCAAAGGGTGGCTATTTTGAAGAAACTAGAATATAAAACATGTTTTCAGTTATTTCACCTTTTTTTGTTAAGTACATAACTCCACATGTGTTCATTCATAGTTTTGATGCCTTCAGTGAGAATCTACAATGTAAATAGTCATGAAAATAAAGAAAACGCATTGAATGAGAAGGTGTGTCCAAACTTTTGGCCTGTACTGTATAACCCAGTTATCATTAACTAGTTCTTGTGCCAACATAATCAGTAAGGCTGCGATCACGTGACCAATAAATTAGTATATA